GGGGGGGTCTTCTCTGTGAGTCTTCTCCTGCCCCAGCGACCAGGGTCACCATCCTATTCCTCCACCTGTCCCACTCCGCCTTATTCCCAGCTGAGCCTGTAGTCCACATGGCGGATGAAGTTTCTGGCGTGCGTGCGTGCGTAGGGGGGTGTTGGGAAGGGATAAAACCTGGTCCAGTGCAGCTCGCTAAGCCTTGTGGCTTTGCTGGGAAACAAGACTGGCTGCCAAATTTCTGGAAGCACACTCAGAGGTGGGGGGCTCACTGGGGACTTGAGTGGCTGGGGAAGACTGGGGTGCTCAGGTGCTGGTCCTGGGGAGGGGGGAGCAGCTGGCAGACTTGGGGCTGATCTTCGAGGCTGGTAGAGAGCACAGGGTACTCCTGGTTTCTCGGACTCCAGCCCTCCTTTTCGGGACACCTCTGATCCTGTCTTTCCCTCCACCTCCTGGGTGGAGGGCCACAGTGGCTCCCTGGCCCCAGAAAGGCCAGTCCCCTCGCATTTCATCAGCAGGCCCCCCAACTCATGCTCCTCCCTTGCACACACCCTGGATTCCAGGCACTCCACACCACGGTCCTTCCCGATCACCAAGCTTGCCCGTCCCCTCGGGCCTTGGCACTTGCCCATCCTCTTTCCGGAATGGCCTTCTCCTCCCTTGCTGCCTGGTGAACAGCACACTTACTCATCGTTTGCCACCACCCCCCTCCCCCGGAAGCCTCCCCTATGGCTCCAGTCCTGGGTGTGCTTTCTCAGCCCGGGGCCCTAACTGCTGGCTTGTGAACTCTGGGGAGGCCAGGACCCAGGCTGCACCAGCGTGGGATCTCCCACAGCCCGCATAGGACACAGCGACCCCCACTATGGGGGTTTGTTGAATGAATCAGTGAAGGGAGGCCTCCCAGGCTTAGCTTGAAACTTTGCTCTTAAAATCAACAGCCCTTTCCTTTGGGTGGGGAGCCCCCGAAGGTTTCCTCTTCTGAAAAGTCCCCTGCAGTGCATCCCACCCCAACACCCATCCCACGGTTTGAGCACACAGGATTTGGGCATAAAGGGGATGAAGGATGTGTTGGCAGTGGTCTGGGTTTTGGACCAATGGGGAGCCCCTGGGGCTAAGTAAGGAGGGTCTGTGGGGGGCCTATGTGCCCTCGTCCTTGAGGAATCCCTGAGGGGAAGCTGCTCCCTGCCTTTCTGCGTCCTTGCTGGGGTGGGTCCTCTGACTGTTCTCTCCTGTGGTCCCCAGGCCAGCGGCCAACCGGAACAGATGCTGACCCAGGTGGGGTGCGGAGCTGCAGCCGGTGCCACCATGGAGTCTTCAACACCCACTGGCGATGCCCTCGCTGCAGCCATCGGCTGTGTGTCGCCTGCGGTCGCATGATGGGCGCTGGGAGGACCAGGGAGAAAGCGGGTAGGAAAAAAGTCATGGTGGGGCTGCAGGCAGAGAAGGAAGTCCTTGCTGGGCTGTTCTAAGTTTGTAGCCATTTCTTGGCTGCTACTTCCCCAGATGGTCTCCCCACCAGTTCGAGCCCCAGGCTCAGTCCACATTCAAAGTGTAACCACCATCAAGTCGATTCTAACGCACAGCACCCCTGTGAGACAGGGCGGACTGCCCCTGTGGGTTTCCAAGGCTGTAACTCTTTTTAAAAAAAATCATTTTACTGGGCGCTCGTACAACTCTTATTACAATCCATCCATCCATCCATTGTGTCAGGCACATTTGTACATTGGTTGCCATCATCATTCTTAAAACATTTGCTTTTTACTTGAGCCCTTGGTATCAGCTCCTCATTTTTGCACCTCCCTCCGAGGCTGTAGCTCTTTACAGAGTAGAAAGCCTCATCTCTCTCCGGTGCCACGGCTGGTAGTTTCAAACTGCCAGCCTTGTGGTTAGCAGGCCAGTGGCTGAACACTTCGCCCCCAGGGGCTCTTGAACACCTTAGAGCCGACTTTCCCCTCTCCACAAACCAGAGGGACAAGCCTGTGTTCTTGCCTACACTCACAGGATGCCTCCCTCTGTGTCCAGCCCTCTCCCTTTGAAACCTTCCAGCACAGTGAGGTGGGTATTGGCACCTCCGTTTTACAGATTTAAAATAAAACAAAACTCAGAGAGGGTAAGTGACTTGGCCAAGGTCACCCAGCTAATCAGTGTGGCAGCCAGGATTTAGAGGTGGGCCTTCTGAGGCTGCCCTGTTCTTTCCACGCTTCTTGGTTTCTCTCCCCGGCCCCCGTTCAACTGGGTCACACCAGGGTTTGACATTTCTCAGTGTTCCTGCTCTCATAGACAATGCTTCCAAAGGATTTCAGGGTCAAATCTGGTTCGGAACGCTCTATGCTGGGTGGCCACCCTGGGGTCTGACAGTGCCTGTCAGCTCCTTAAAGCTCTGCGCTGTGCAAGCTAGCGAGTCTGGGGCGCTGTTTAACCAGCCTTCCCCCCAAAGCCTGTCTCTGACAGCTCTTTGAGCCCCCTGGTTTAGACAGCATGTCCTTGATCTACTTCCCTGCACTTCACCTTGGTTACTTTAGTTTCCTGACCTGCAGCTTCTCCCTTCCCACCCCACAGGCTCTCAGGAGTCGTCCACTGAGGAGTGTGCCCAGGAGGCTGGGCACAGAGCCTGCTCCCTGATGCTGACCCAGTTTGTCTCGAGCCAAGGTGAGCCATCTTGGAGGGGTGTGGAGTGCAGTGGGCAGTTCCTGAGGGAGGCGAGCTTCCTGTACTCATGGCCTTCATCCTGGGCCCAGTCCCCTCCCTGGTTAGGGACACAGAGCTGCCCAGGGTAGCTCCCAGATCCACTTAGCACCAGATTCTGCCTCTCCGCTCCACCCCACAGCTTTGGCAGAACTGAGCACAGCGATGCACCAGGTGTGGGTCAAGTTTGACATCCGGGGGCACTGCCCCTGCCAAGCGGATGCCCGGGTGTGGGCCTCTGGAGATGGGGGCCAGCAGGTAAGAGCCACGTGAGAGAATGGTGACAGAGGTGTGCCTGGTGGTTCCCAGCACTGGGTGGGGTAGCTGTAGATTACTAACTTGTCAGACTTTGGGCATTTTTCTTTTCAAAACAATGTTTTTTTCATCTTTATTTTATTCAAAAGTTTTATTAGCATTTATGTCACATAGCCTCCAATTCAATCATTCAATCACTTTGTGAAGTAGTTTTTGGCATCTTTGTCAAAGCATACAATTTCATCATCCAATCACACGGAGATGTGTGCATTCATCACCACGGTCAATGTCAGAACGTATCTTCTCATACTCCTGGTCGTTAGCTCCCTATCTCCCCCACCCTCCCCTGCCACGCCCTTATCCAGGTATGGCCTCCATAGATCGACCTATCCCAGATTCCATAGACAGAAAGTTGTACCAAACAAACACTGAAACAAAAAACTGAAACGACTTTAAAATGGGTCCAAAGGGAGATGGAATGAAAAGGTGTTACATTTTAACCTAATGACATCTGCCACAACCGAATTTTCGATGCTCTCAGACAGCGAGGCTATTTACAGCATTTCCCTTTGTACCTTAAAAAAGACCTGTTTGGGGTGAAGGTGTACGCAGTCGGTTGGATCGCATCCAGCAATTTCTAAGCAGGTTGCTCAGGGACACTGGTTATGTTCTACACAAAGTGTGAACACTCTCGTTATTTTTATTCTTGCTGTTCCATTTTATGCATTTCTCTTCATGAGGGCTCCGAGATCGGGGTGAATATGTGGGTCCCCTCCCCGCTGTTCCCAGTGGTTAGGATCCACAGATGGGTGCTCCAGCGTGCCCCTCCCGGCTTCTCTCTTCACTGGGCGTAACTCCTCTCTCCCGGTTTGCCCACCAGCTCAGCACTTGCCACATCAGGACAGGGTGTTTGTTGGGCAGGGCCAGGCCAGGCCACCTGCCCAGCATTCCCTGAGCCCAACTCAGAGCGGAGCTGAGCATGCATGTGTGAAAGCCCCTTGGGGTACATGTCTTACTACAAAACTTGTTCAGTCAAGAAACCTTTTATAGACGGAATTTTGTGCCATTCCCTTCATGTGTTGGGCTGTTAATCCCAAGGTCGGCTGTTTGAAACCACCAACCACTCCACAGGAGAAAAATGAGGCTTTCTATGGCTGCCCTTAGAGAGTTATTGTCCTAGAGACCCCTAGGGACTGTTCTACTCTGTCCTATAAAGTCACTGTGAGGCAGAATCGACTCGACGGGAGTGAGTGGTTTGTTTGTTTTGGGGGGTTTTTTTTGACCCATTATGGGAAATTTGGCAAATTTAGACAAGTAGAAGGAAAAGAATAATAAGACTTGTAATGCCACCAAGAAGCCCGATGACAGTGGGTGATGCATTGAGCTAACTGCAAGGTTCAAACCCACCAGTCACTCAGAGAGAGAAAGAGGAGAGGCTCTCTGCTCCACGGAAGATGTATAGTCCGGGGAACCCACAGGGGCAGTTCTACTCTGCCTTATAGGGTCACTCTGAGTCAGCATCAATTCCATGGCAGTGAGCGTGTATGATGCCAGCATTAGCATGCTGCTTTCCATGCATATTGAGTGGTGCATAGTGGCTAAGCTCAGCCACTAACTGAAAGGTGGGTGGTTTGAATCCACCAGCCGTTCAATGAGAGAAAGATGAGGCCGTCTGCTCCTATAAAGCGCGATAGTCTCCGAAACCCACAGGGGCAGTTCTACCCTGTCCTACAGGGTCGCTGTGAGTCGGAATCTCCGATTGATGGCACCGGGTTTATGGTAGCATCCACTGTACTGTGCTCAAAATTCCCCAAGCAGCATCTCCCCACCCACCACGTGCTCTTTGCCAACAGACCGCAGAGCTGTGTGTGAGCGCCTTGTCCATACTTGTCAGTTGAGCTGAATTAAGTTGCTTTGGCCATTTTTAAGTCTCTGGTTGGATTGGGGGGGGTGGTGGTGGGGTTTTCCAGAAGGAGCCACCAGAGAAAACACCCCCGGCTCCACAACCTGCCTGCAACGGGGATACCAACAGGACCAAGGACATCAAAGAAGGTGAGCAGCTCCCTGTGCCTTGGAGGAGGAAACGTGGGCCAGGGTTTGAAGCAAGAGAGGGGAATGAGTGGCAGCAGATGCCATGAGGTTCCCCACCCCCACCCCACTGCCCTCGGTCACCTCTGTCACTCCTCTAAGTCCTTCTACAATAATCTAAAGAAAATCTAAAATCAGCTCCACCCCAAGGCCCCCTTCTATATCTCGAATTCTAGAGAGGCTGGGGCTGCCACCAGGGAACCTGTTGCGGGGTTGGGGGTGGGCGGTCGGGGGTGATGGGTGTATATCCAGAGAAGAGTGGGACAGGTCAGTGCGGTGTGGCCAGGAGATGGGGACAGGGAATAGTGGGTGATGGAGCCTGAGGGAAAAGTGAAGTTTCTTCCCATTGCTTCCCGTCTGGCCACAGAGATCCCAGACTCCACTGAAAGCCCGGCAGAGGACCGCACCGGCCGAGGCCCCCTGCCTTGTCCTTCTCTCTGCGAACTACTCGCCTCCACTGCTGTCAAACTCTGCTTGGGACATGAGCGGATACACATGGCTTTTGCCCCCGTCACTCCGGCCCTGTCCAGCGTGAGCAGGGGCACCGAGGGAGGACTGGGAGCTGGGGCCCAGAGGCTGCTGGCTTGGGTGAGCCCGGAGCCTCCCTGACCCCTTCCTCCGCCCACACACAGGATGACCGAATCACCAACATCCTAGACAGCATCATTGCACAGGTGGTAGAGCGGAAGATCCAGGAGAAGGCCTTGGGGCCGGGCCTGCGGGCTAAGGGCCTGGGCCTGCCCCTCTCACCGGTGAGGCCCAGGCTGCCACCCCCCGGGGCTTTGCTGTGGCTTCAGGAGCCCAGGCCTCCTCGTGGCTTCCGCATCTTCCAAGAGCACTGGAGGCAGGGTCAGGTGAGTTCTCGGCTGCCCTTTCTCCCCAAGGCCCCTCAGGGCCCTTTCACAGCAGCGGGGCCTGGCCCCTGTGCTGGGCTGTCTGCTTCCCTTTGCAGCAAGCCCAACCTAGCCCTGCAAGACCCCCTCCACCCTCCATTCCATCCTCCTTATTCCCTGTTCCCCTCACAGCCTGTGCTGGTGTCTGGGATCCAAAGGACACTGCGGGGCCACCTTTGGGGGATGGAAGCTCTTGAGGCGCTCGGAGGACAGGTGCAGGCGCTGACACCCCTTGGGCCTCCCCAGCCCACAAGTGTGGGCAGCGCCGCCTTCTGGCAGGGCTTCTCCAGGCCTGAGAGTGAGTACCTCAGGGATGGGCTAGGGGGAGCTGGACGCCTGCTCCCTCGCGTGGCAGCGAGTCCCAGAGTGACCCTGGTGGTGGCTGGACCCAAGGCCTGGAGCCCACACAGGCCTCATTTGTTGTTAGCATGGTGGCAGGGGCAAGGAGTTTCCTCCCTGGACCAGTAGCCATGCTGTCTTTCTCCCCAGTCCGCCCGAAGTCCGAGGAGGGCTCTCTCCTTCTGCTGCACCGAACTCTAGGAGCGGAGGACAGTGGCAGGTGGGTATACGACTCCAAGGGGCCAGCACGCCCTGACACCCCCCCCACCCCCCCACCCCCCGCCTGCTCCACCCTCCTCTCTCGGTCCCTTCCCTTGGGGTCCTTCAGCTCTCCATAAGGGTGTGCTAGGGTCACCTGGGTGGTAGGGGGTGCTTCGTTGGAACACCTGGTGCCTGGGTTGGGAACACTGGGTCTGATTCCCCCACACATACCTAGGGTGGAGAACCTGGCTGCCAGCCTACCGCTCCCCGAGTACTGTGCGCACCATGGGAAACTCAACCTGGCTTCCTACCTCCCGCCGGGCCCTGCCCTGCAGCCGCTACAGCCCCGGCTCTGGGCAGCCTATGGTGAGTTCTGGGCACCAGGCCACCCACTGCTGTCCTGTGCCTTCCTGCATGTGTCTCCTCTGGGGGGCGGCTGGGGGAGCGGGGGTTGGCTGGGCCCCTTCTCCTGTCTCATTCTCCACTATCTGTCCAGGTGTGAGCCCACACCGTGGACACCTGGGGACCAAGAACCTGTCTGTGGAGGTGACTGACCTGGTCAGTCTCCTGGTACATGCAGAAGCCCCACTGCCGGCTTGGCACCGGGTACAGAAAGGTGGGTACCTGGCTGCAGACAAGGACAGGTGCCAGGGGCTGTGACCCACTCCTGATGAGCTTCCTTTCTGCCCTAGACCTCCTCTCCGGCCTGGACGGGGAAGGACTCTGGTCCCCGGGCAGCCAGGTCAGCGCCGTGTGGCACGTGTTCAGAGCACAGGACGCTCAGCGCATCCGCCGCTTTCTGCAGATGGTGAGGAAGGAGCTGGGGGCCCTCTCCTCCTCTGCCCCTGCCCCCCTGGGTCTCTGAGGCAGAGACGCTCTCTGGTGTGCTTCTGGATGAATTAGTGCTGCCCCAGCCTACTCCCTTGGGTCACTCCACACAGATGGGACAGAGAAGACCACTACTAGGGTCATGTGATGGGGTCCTGAGAAAGGGAGACAGCAGAGTCTGGACTGAATGATGTCCTGGAAGCAATCCTGTTGCTTCTTGGGTGCCCACCACATGCTAGGCGTGTGCCAAGGTGCCCACCCTCTCATTGAGCTGTCACGGTGCCCTCTGAGGCGGGAGCAGCTAGCTCCAGGTTGCAGAAGAGAATCTAGGCTCCTTGGCAGCAGCGCGGGGACCTGAGTCTGTCTGCCCCGCCTCCTTGGGGAGGCAGCTGGGTGGAGTCTGGGAGAAGGGATGAGCGGCCAGTGGGAGCTGCCGTCCTGTATTGTCCCCTTTCCACCGTGTACACTTTGTGACAAAAGCTTCTGGAAGGAGGGGCTTTCTGGGGGCTGCAGGTCGGGGGGGCTGGGGGAAGCAGCCTGGCAGGTGGAGGTAGAGGCGAGGCCAAGGCAAGGGTCGGGGAAGGAGAAGGTGAGGAGGGCTGGCAAGAGCAGGCAAGAGATAAGCAACTCCAGAAAGATTTAGTGGGGAGTGAGGATGGGGGCAGCTGGTAAAAGCCTAGAATGAAGGTTAGGGCAGGCCCAGGAGTTCCGAAGTCCAGCTGAGCCCTGAGCCTGACTGTCCTGGGGGAAAGACTTCTACCACATCCACCCCTGCTGAGGCGCACATGTGAACCCAGGCATGTACCCCCCCCCACGCACACGCACATGTGCACGCCCACTGTGGCTGCCGATACCCCTCTCCTGCCCACAGGCACACACATCTAGAGACACATCTAGAGACACGCACGCCGTAGATGCTCACACGGAGGGGAACAGACAGAGCATGCCTTCATAAACAGATGGCCTAATCTAGTCTGGGTGTGACTGGCTGTGGTCTGAGGTGGCCCTGGGAAGTCCTGTATGGCCAGAGCAGGTGACTCATGGAGAAGGTCAGAGGACTCATTCTCACTGGGTGGGCCTGGGAACACTGCTCTAGCCCCGGGGGTGGAGGGTGGGGGGTGGGGCGCCTGGAACCTCAGCAGGGAAAGGGATCTGTCTGGGCACCAGGTTGGGGTTGTCGTGGACTCCAGCCTGGTCCACGGGCCAGTTTCTCCCCCAAGGCCCAGTCTCATACCCCTCAGCCCCGGGGCAGTGACAGGTCCTGGCCACAGGAGGCTGGTGGCCAGTTGGAGCACGATGCTGCCGATGTTCACGGAGCAGCACTTCCTCCTCGGGCCTTCATGGGTCCCTGCCTGCCAAGAGCTCCCAGGTCTGCTTGGGCTGGTGAAGGCCCCTCATCCCTGTGCCCGCTCCAGGGGCCGCAGCCCGGACAGGCCTGCCTGTCCACCCACTTGGGCTAAGAGCTCCCAGTAGAGGCACTGACCGGGATTCTCCAGGCTGTTTGCCTGGGTTTGGGAGAAAGGTGTGCCATTGAGAGGGATCAGGGGGCTCAGCGACAGGGACCCAGACAATTCGCAAGCATCTGAAAAGCAAATGAGCGAAAACCACTTGCCGTCCCTTCCATCCTGAGCCACGGCAAGCCGGTGTATGTCGGAGTCAGCCCATGCACCCCCGGGCTCCTCAGCGGCTAATTTTCTGGAAGTCAATGTATCTTCCCAGGTGCCATTTTGCTTAGCCACTTCATTAGTGTGTTAGTCATTTGCATTGCCCAGACAGAGACTCCATCAAAGGCACATAGTCCCAAGAAAAGCAGGCATTTAGACCCTCTGGCTCAGCACCTGGGAGCCCTGGTGGCATGGTGGTTACATAGTGGGTTGCTAACCCCAAGGTCAGCAGTTTGAAACCAGCAGGTGCTCCACAGAAGAAAGATGGATGGGGCTTTCTACTTCCGTGAAGGTTTATAGCCATGGACACTCATCGAAGCAGTCCTGTCCTATCCTATTGGGTCGCTATGAGTTAGAAGGGACTTGATGGCAGTGAGTTTGGAGTTTTGGCTCAGAACCTGGGGGCAAGACAAGGTGCTTTACACTTCGGTAAAGAGTTACGGTCTGGAAACGCCTCAGGGGAAGTTCTCTCTGGTCCCACAGGGTTGTCGCTGCAAGTGGGGATGGAGGACGTGCTCTGAACCCTCAATCCTTCCCTCGCTGGAGGCTCCTCGCCAGTTCTCATCCCTCCAGCATGAGCCCTCCGGGGCCTTTCTCCTCCCTGCCCTCTCCTCCCTGCTCCCCGAGTCTCAGCCACGTCAGCCCTTTCCCGTGCTCCTCTCTCCTGGGAAGTCCATGCCCCTGTCCTCCCACAGCCTCGTCCTACCTTCCCCCCTTGCTCACCCCCCTTTCTCTTCTTGTAGGTGTGTCCTGCTGGGGCAGGCACCCTGGAGCCTGGGGTCCCGGGCAGCTGCTACCTCGACGCAGGGCTACGGCGGCGCCTGAGGGAGGAGTGGGGCGTGAGCTGCTGGACTCTACTGCAGGCCCCTGGGGAGGCTGTGCTGGTGCCTGCAGGGGCACCCCACCAGGTGCTCCCCCAGGGGATGGGGTTTTGTGGGGAGGTCAGAACAGCAGAGACAACACAGACAGACCCTGCATTCCTACGGCTTCCTCCAACCCCGCTGAGTCCTCCAGCGAGCGGCCTCCATGCTCCCAGCCAGCCCGGGACAGGGAGCGGGGCTGCTCGTCCACTAAGTAAAAGAATGGTGGAGTGTCTTCTGGGTAGCAAGGAACCAAACTGGGAGCCCAGCAAGCAAGCGAGCTGTGTCTCGTCCTGGCCCCTCTGCATGCTGAGGTGTTTATGCTCTTGGATGCCTCCTGCCTGTGCCCGACTGGGCATCCTTAGCCCGGCACACCCTTCGGGGGTGCCTGTAGCTGTATCTAGAGACTCTGCTCTCCAAGACCTGGGTGGCTGGAGCTGGGGGGTATTGTAGGAATTAGGCCTCGGGCACAGAGGACAGGGAGAGGATCTGTGATCCCAAGCCCCGATGACCTTCACACATTCACATCCTCCCCGCACAGGTGCAAGGCTTGGCCAGTACGGTCAGTGTCACTCAGCACTTCCTATCCCCTGAGACATCGGCCCTCTCTGCTCAGCTCTGCCACCAGGGACCCAGCCTGCCCGCTGACCGCCGCCTGCTTTGTACACAGGTGAGGGTCACCCTGGCCAGAGGGCAGGTGGCCTGCCAGGTTCTGCCTTTCCGGGCATGTGGCCGCTCCAGCTCTGTGCGGAGGCAGCAGCTGGCTGGGCGGAGGAAGGGCATTCTTCTGAGTGGGAGAGGGGAGGGCACCGCACCCCAGGGCCAGGCCCAGGAATGTGACTGAACCCTCCTTGTCCTCTCTCTTCTAGATGGACTGGGCTGTGTTCCAAGCAGTGAAGGTGGCCGTAGGAACATTGCAAGAGGCTAAATAGGGGGGCCCCCCAGGCAAGGGCGGGGAACCAACTGGTATACCAGGTGCTCAGCCAGGCACAGCTTCAGCAAGGAGGGGTGCTTGGGAATTTGGGGGCTTTGGGCCAATCCCACAAGCACCACTCTGGGGCACATCCCACAAGCACCACTCTGGGGCACAAATAGGACACCCCTTCCTGAGCACTAAAGCCAACAACTGTAGTGCCACCAAAGCTCCCACCTGTCCTTCCTGAGGCTGGAACCTGCTTAGCCCCCATCCTCCACGGGCCCGGGCCCCCACCTTAACCCTCGAGGGACCTTGGGGATCATTCTGGCTTTAGCAAACCTCTTTCTTCTGCGTCACCTCCTGCTCCCACCTGTGCCCTGAGCGCTGTGTCCCCACGTTTGTCCCCACTGGGTTCCCGGGCAGCCTTCTGCCCTGCTGCCATTGCTGGATGAGGGGCCCTTGAATCTGCCCTCTCACCAAAGAGCTGAGAAGCTGGCGGGGGCGGAGGGTCAGGGGCTGCCCAGGCTTGGTTGGAGGGAGTAATTTGGGCGTGCCGCCCCCCACCCCCAAGATTTCCATTAAAGTCTGCTGGTTTGTGACGGCTGCCAGGCCGACTGCTGATGCAGGTCACGGGGTCAGGGAGGGGGCTGGGCATGGGAATCTTCTCTGGAAGAGGGGCATATGGGACTGGGCTGGGACCTGAGTACCGGGCCCCCAACGCCTCTATCTCCTGGTTTTTTCCCGGGGGAGTCTGTAGCGATTGAGCCTGCTGTGGGGCTGCGCCCCACCAAAGATGGCTGGTGACAGCCCCAACCACCTGGAGGCAGAACCTAGGTGGGGTGGGGTGGGGGTGGGCTCTCCAGCACTGCCTCCCTGTGTAGCCTTGGCTTTCGGAGATCCTGGAGTCCCAAGCCCCGCTATGAACCTCAGGCCGGCCACCTCTCCAGTCTGACCCAACCTGGACATCCGTATGTGTGGCCGAGGGAAACCAACCCAGGGTGCCTCAGACAGCTGACTGCCTCCCCTGCACCCCCTCCCACCGCCGCCCCCTTCCCTTGTCCATCTCTGCCCCAGACACGCGTCATCTGTTGTCATACCTAATTGTTTCTGCTGTGGTTCGGGGATTTTTTTTTAATTAAATAAAATTTTTTTAAAATTTTACATGTTAATATACTTTCAAAAAATTTAGAAAATAAGAAAAAGTCACTGGTAAGCCCATCCTTCCCCTTATTCCCCCCCCACCCCACCCCCTACACACACTCCAGACAGGAGTGTTTTGGTGCACTCCCTTCCAGGGTTTCCAGCGAGAATGTTTCACACACAGGTGAACTGCTGTGTTCTGCGCTTAGTGTCTGTCTGCCGCCAACCTGTGTCGTCACTGTGTCGCTACTTCACCTTCCTTAGAAATGGCTGTGGCTGGACCTCCACGCAGGAGCTTTGCATTGCTTTAGAGTGCGCCCCGCCCCACCCCATCCTTTAAAAACTGTCTTCATTTGTGTTCCCAAACTTTGGTTATTTTTATCCCCCGTCATGGAATAAAGAAATAGGGAAGTCCTACGCTCGGCCAGCCACTGCACTGGGTGGTCTCATTGAGTCCCTGACCACTGCTGTGAGGTCGATACTATTTGTTTCCATTTTGCAGGAGAGGAAGACAGGCAGGTGAGGGTTAAAAAGTTAGCCAAGGTCACCCAGCTGGATTTGAATCAAATTTTCTGACTCAAGCCACCTTGTTTGCATTACAGCCTTAGCTTTTAATGGAGCTTGAAGATGAGCTTGCCCTCCTGTCCTCCTTCCAACGTTCTGCACTTGATGACTGAACTTGCTCCAAGTAGCACTGCATGACCTGTCCCACTTACATCCCGCCTTATACAGCCCCACCCTGCTGTCACCCCTGAGCCCAAGGCACGGCGTCCTCGCTGTAGAGATGGTGCTCTTCTGAACTGTTTCTATTAGGGGTAGGGACTGATGGGTCACCAGCTCACCCCAATCTGCACGCCACCTCCCTGCATCATGGTCCACACCCTGTCACCAGGTGAATCCGTGTCCATTGATCCCAGAACTAGCCCTGGTGATGAACCTGGTCCAGGTGAGCACTCAGTGGCAACGTTTTCCCCAGAGGCTCAGCTGTCTGTCCCCAGCCCAGATTTACCCTTTGGGCCCCTGCTTCTCTCCCAGCCTTTTCCGGCATCCCCCATGGTCCGGCTCTGCTTCCAGCCCCTCTCACTGGCCCAGTCTCAAACGCGCACCCCTCAGAGCCAGATGTGAACTCGAAGCACGCAGACCCACTCGAATCCAATACTTCATTTCTTCTTGTAAATTGCTTAGGTTTTTTATTTTGAAAGAATTTTAGACTTACTAAAGAGTTACAAGATCGTATAGAAAGTCTCCAATGGCCCTTTTGACCCAGCTTCCCTAAGGCTAACATCTCACAGGACCCTAGTCCATTTACCAAAATGAAGAAGTCAACATGGACACATTGTGTGCTAAGCAGCAGGCTTTCCACGATGCCCCCTTTCTGCCCCAGGATCCAGCAGTGCCCTATCTGCACAGATGCGTGAGATTAGAGGGTAGACAGTTCCTCCAAAAGCCACTCAGAAAGCTGGTGGCAGAGCCCAGCCTGAGGTGGCCCTCCTCGCCTTTCCCACTTGGTTAGGCCACCAGAAGGGAGGGTTGACGTCACAGCCCTTGTCTCACGCTGCCCACCACAGGCCTTCCTGCCCACATTTGTGCGCATACACACATGCAGGTGTGCACCTTGAAATCGCTGGCCCAGGCTTCTCTCCTGCAAGAAGCTGGTACCAGTCAGGCTGTTCTTGTCTGCAGCACCGGGTATTCCCTGTGTGCTACACAGCCAGTTTTCTTCCCTGTCCGGGATTGGAAGGCCAGACCTAAGCTGACAGAGCCCTTGCATTGGTGGTGGTCCCAGGGCACTATCCTGGGCTGGGTCTCTTGGGCTCCTTGCTGCCTCAGCCTGGATGTCCTCCTCCCACAGCCCCTCACCCTCCTCAGCATTCCCTCTCCCTGCCTCAATGGCCCCGTGAGCCTTGAGGGGGGTCTCTGTTGTCTCCTTCAACACTTGGGAGGAGGAGGCTGGAAACACCCACTCCACGGCCCTCGGACTCTGGTAGCCCTTCAGGGTTTGCAAGGGGCCTTTGCGCACACGCATTCCACGGCGTCACGTGATCCTGACCACAAGGGTGATTAGGCTGCTTGATGGAAGAGGAACCCTTTTCCTTGGCACTAACGGGGAAGTGGAGCCGTGGTTTGTTGTAGGCTTTGCTCTTCCAGGCAGTTAGACTGTCTGGTGTTTATCTTAGGCCGCCTTTGTGGTTCTCAGAGTCTTGCCCAGACATGACCTCACCCTCTCTCAAATCATCCCTGGAAGGCAGGAAGGCGTCTGGGACCAACGTTGTCCCCACTTTACAGATGGGAAAACCAAGGGATACACACACAGAGCAGACAAGTTGTCAAGTTGTTCTGCCGTCTGGGGGGTAAGGGAGTCTTGGCTGGAGGTGAGGGTCACCCAAGGTCACGAGCCCACCAGGGAGGCCCTACAGCTGAACACAGGGCCCTACCTCCAGGGAACTTGCAGTTGGTGTCGGTATGTGAGAAAGGCCTACAGAAGCAGATGCATGTGACTGGAGTTTTACGATGGCCTTGTAAGCACATTTCACAAGGGTGGGGCTTATGCCCCAGTAAGTTGGGTTGGTGGGTTGCGGGCCACTGGACAGACTTCAGGACAGCTCCCACAGCACCTCACCCCACTCCCCCAACAAGCCTCCCCATGCTACAGATGAGGAAACTGAGGCCCACGATTTACCCAAGGGCACTGAGCAAGCCAGGAGCAACGGAGGGCAGTGCTTTCTGACTATATCCCATGCTTGGCCCAGCCGCCACAGGTATGAAACCCCACTCACCACCACCAAGTTGCTTCTAACTCACAGAGACCCCATGGGGCGGAACACACACACACACACACACACACACACACACACACACAGACGGCAGGTTTGAATGTGCTACCTTTTAGTTAGTAGGCCAATACTTAACTCACTGTGCTACCAGGGGCCCTAAGAGCCTAAAGAGGAGGCCCAAGGGGGGGTGAGGAGTGGGGACTTGGCTTGCATCCCTTCCTCTCCAGCTGGCCAGCCTTCCTGTCCCATGGAGAGGTGAGAGGAAGCTCTGAGGAGGAAAGGTCAGACTGGGAGAGACTCAGACTCACCCAAACAGCCCACACCCTGTTCTCAGTGTGCCAGGCCCTGTGTGCTGGTGGGAGGAAACAGAGGAAGGAGCATGACACAGGACTGACAGGCTCCCACGGCCCATTCCAGGCCCTCTCAGTCTGGTCCCTAGCTAACTCCCAGCCCCGCCCCACCTCGGCCATCCCTTCCCGGAGCGCCTGCCACACCTCCTGCCCACACCACCCATTGCGCACTTGGTTTATAATCCTCAGACCCCTTTTCTACGTCCATCTCCACCTCTCCCACTAGAACCTTCTCCTCCTACCCGGGGCTGAGGTGTTCCCCTGCCAGGCCATCCTGTAAGAAAGCTAGCTATTCGGAAAGGGACCGTCCTGGGCAAAGCCGGAACCTGTGCCAACAGTTTGAAAGCGCCTGTGACGTCATGTGGTTCGCCGTGACGTCATCGTTGCCATCTGCGGGGGGGCTGTCTCTGCACCCTGCAGGCAGTGTTATGTCACCATCACCATCGAAACCAGTACAGACAAGTGCGCGCTAAAGGAAATGAATGAGGTTGGAGGCAGGAGACGTCTTAAAAGATAGAGGCCAAGGCAGCCAAAGCCCGGTGGGGGGGCACTGGCCAGCAGGTCACCTAGCCCCCAACCCCCGGGGCTCCCCGCCCCCACCCCGCCCTAGGCTGGCCATCCTCAAGACCACCATCGCTGCCTGAAACATGACACTCAGCTCAGA